TAGCATATATCCTCACAGCGGTTTTTTCATGCGAAGTGCTGTGCCAGACACTTTCTATACATTAACTCACTTTATCCTCATAAAAACCTGTGAATCTGAGGTTCAGTAACTGAACCCCTGGTCACTGAGCTGCTAAATTAGACAAACCAGGATTACTAAGCAGTCTGCCTTCAGAGAGGCAGCAGAGGGTCAGCCCAGGACTGAAGGGTCCTCGGAGGTGGCCCGAAGGTGGGAGGTGAGGCTGCTGGGTTGGGGGTGGGGCAGATGGGGCAGGGCCCGTAAGGAGCTTAGACTTTATCCTGAGAGCCCTGGGGAGCCGTGAGAAGATTTTCCTTGGCAAAGTGACATCCTTACACTTTAGCAGGGTATCCACGGGCAGTACCACTTCCAAGCAGGTGGCGAATGGTGCACCGCGATCCGGGTTGTGAGGGTCGTGTGGTGGTCCTGGCGCTCTGGCTCCTGTCTGGATGTCAGGGTCATGGGAGGGCATCTTCTTCCCACGGCTTCTCTGAACCCACAGCGGAGCCAGCTTTAGGTCCTGCAGGCTGAAGGGCCCCCAGCCCTCAGCAAGGTCCCAGCAGGATTGTGTCTAGATTTCACAACTCCCTGCAGCCTCACCCCTCACCTCCTGCCTGCTGACAGCAATCTGCTGGGGCAGAAATAGCCCTGCACGTTCACAGCGCCTGCCTCATACATGTTGTACACGTCGGCCAGCCGGAGTGCTGAGCCTCCTGATGCGGGGCCCCTGCTCTCTTCCAGCCCAGGGCCGAAGGCTGGCTGGTCTGCTGCCTTGGCCAGAGGCTCGGGCACCTCCGATTGCAGAAGTCTCTGGAAGGGCAGTGCTATTGGAGCTCTGAGGAGCTGGTCCTAAACAGAGGCCTCCTGGCTGAGCCCTGAGCCCCTAGGGGGATGGTGTCTGCAGCGGACGGACGTCACTGAGGGAGCTGTGGGGCGTCACCAGGCTGGCTTCTCTCCCCGGTCGCTCCTCTTGTCTTGTCTTATCGTGCAGCTGGGCTGCTCGCGCTGCCAGACTTCGTGGGAGCTGCCTCTGAAGGCCAGGGGTGGGGGGCAGGGTCTGGGCCTCAATGTAACAGGAGAGCTTTCAGACCAAAGCAGCTAACCGCAGGTGTGGTCTATGACATAAGCTGTCAGTTTTGGGCAGAGAGAGCCCTCCTCCATTCTCAGCTCTGCTCATCCCTCCAACTGTCTAAAATTTAGGTCAAGCTGTAGGAAAATGCTTTTCTTGTTTGCATTCTTGTTGCATTCTTGCAAGAATCTATGAAGAGAAGTGAAAGTTGCTTAGTCGTGTCTGACTCTATTGCGACCCCATGGACTGTAGCCTACCATGCTCCTCTGTTCGTGGGATTTCCCAGGCAAGAATACTGGAGTGGGTTGCCCTTTCCTATACTCCAGGGGATCTTCCCGACCCAGGGATCAAACCTATGTCTCCTGCATTGGCAGGCGGATTCTTTACCACTGAGCCACCAAGGAAGCCCCCCTCAAATCTGTAGCGAATAAAAATGTGAACTTTGAACTGAGTGGTGTCTAAGCCTGGCTTTCCTGCTCGCTGGCTTGGTGACCGTGGACAAGCTGAGTTCCCTGATGGAGACAAATGATGGTCCTCACGTCACTGGGCTATGTGCTGATGAAAAGGGAAAATAGGTGTAAAATGATTGCAGTGCCCTTGGAATAACACTGGAGATATTAATACCAATGATAATTGCTATCATTGTTGGAGGGAGTCAGGGTTGAGCTTTTTGTGCTTTTCCCACCATTTCCAGAAGCTGTTTTGTCAATTTGTTAATCTTTCCAGGTTATTTTGGTAGTCTCTGTTCTTCCTCTCGCCTTTGAATCTTCAACTCGATTCCTTCAAGCATGTTACTAATTCTAAGTCTCTAGAATTCAGTGTGTGCTTTATGCTTAGAGCACATCTCAATGGAATAGTTTTATGCAAATGGCTAAAGTTGGGCCCTGGTCTCACATCATAAAAAAAATTAACTCAAAATAGGATATAGACCTCCATTAAAGAGTTGAAACTATAAAGCACTTTGAAGAAAATATAGAAGTAAATCTTTGTGACCTTGGGTTAGACAGTGTTTTTTAAGATATGACACCAAAAGCATAAATGATAACAAAAATTAATTGGATTTTGTTGAAATTAAAAACTTTTGAGAATTCGCTGGTAGTCCAGGAGTTAGGACTCTGCGATTCCACTGCAGGGGGTCTGGGTCCTTTGTTGGGGGAACTAATATACTGTAAGCTGCACTGAGGGAGAGGGGGGAAAAAAGAGTATACAATCAACACAATTCCTCTTGGCTATATCTCCAAAATATATCTGGAAACTAACCACTTCTTAGCGTATCTGTCTCTGTCCCCCTGGGTTCAAATTACTATCTTCTCTTATCACTCTTGTCTCCACTATCTATTTCTAACTCAGCAGTCAGAGGGATCTTTTTATTTATTTATTTATTTAAAGTTTAATTTTATTTTTTTTCCATTTATTTTTATTAGTTGGAGGCTAAGTACTTTACAATATTGAAGTGGGTTTTGTCATACATTGACATGAATCAGCCATGGAGTTACATGTATTCCCCATCCCGATACCCCCTCCCACCTCCCTCTCNTCAACTTTGAAACAGGTCTTAGTATAAATGAGAACCAAATTTAATGTTAAGAAAGTATCACAAACTTACCGCAGGAAAAGAGATATACTATTAATGAAATAAATGTCAAATAGCTCAAATTGCTAAAGATAAAAAAAGAAACAATAAAACCAAAAGACAAGGGCTTCCCTGGTGGCTCAGTGGTAAAGAATCCGCCTGCCAATGCAGGAGACATGGGTTCGAGCCCTGATCTGGGAAGATCCCTCATGCCTCAGAGCAACCAAGCCCACCATGCCCTACAACCATCGAGCCCGTGCTCTAGAGCCCGGGAACTGCGACTGTTGAGCCTGTACCCTTCATCAAGAGAAGCGCCCGCAGTGAGAAGGCTCCACCACGAAGAGTAGCTCCTGCTCGCCACAACTAGAGAAAGGCCCGTGTAGCAACGAAGACTCAGCACAGCCAAAAATAATTAAAATTATTTTTAAAAAAACCCCACAAACCCAGAAGACAAGATAGTGACCCTGTAAGGGGGAAAGATTTTCCAAACATTAAACCAAGTGGCAGAAATCACCAAGACTAATAGATATCAAAATGTTAAAACTTCCGCCACATGAAACACTTCTTAAAAGGCGAATATTACAGATTTATATTCTGAACAAAGAAACACACTTAACACCTTTTAAGTATATTTATGATCCCAGTTTTCTAAAATAAAGTGGTTTACATACACAGGTTAAAAAGTGCAGTTGGAGGCTGTGAGCTCATTAGTACTGTCTGGTTCTACCACCTGTGTGACCTTGAGCGGGGCAGTTAACCTCTGTGCCTAATTTCCTCGCAGGTGAAACAAAAGTAACAATAGTCCCTTCCTGGTAGGGTTGTTGAGAGGACTAAATGGGTTAATGCATGTCAAGGACATAAAAAACGGCACCTGGCACGTAGTAAGTCCTCAGTGACTCTAGAATTGATGTTCTCTTACATACAGGCTTCTTTTTGGTTGACCAGGATTCTAAGGGTTATACTGAAAACTTGGTAACACGTGAGAATATTGACATTGACAGACTTAGAAGTTATAAGGAATGAACAAGTGAAAATAGGTCATGCACATCAAGGAATAACGGCAGTGCATATTATATTACATAAAGCCAAGCAGATGTTTTATACTTGTGATAAGTTGAGATTGTCTGCAAAATATGGCCAAGTGGAATTCCCACTTCCTGCCAGTGGCCAGGAAGATGTCATGGAGGAGGTAGGATTTTAGAAGACAAAGAAGGGGGTTTCTTAGTTGGAATTGTGCCTGTGTGTGCTCAGTAACTCAACCATGTCTGACTCTGAGACCTCATGGACTTTAGACTGATGGATTCTTCTGTCCATGGAATTCTCCAGGCAAGAAAACTGGAGTGGATTGCCATTTCCTCCTCCAGGGGACCTTCCCAACCGGGGGATTGAACCTACGTCTCTTGTGTCTCCTGCATTGGCAGGTGGATTCTTTACCACTGTGCCACCAGGAGTAGTTAGCTCTAGGAAGCAGCATAGGAGCCTGTAGCTTAGGACGTGGAGGGAATTCTGGAAGATGAGGATGGGCTGGGGTGTGGCTGGTCTGCCAGGCCACTGGACTGTTACAGGCCAGAGGGCCCCGAGGCCTTTGCCTGGCTGCCCCTCTAGTGTAATGACCCTTCCAGCATAAGGGACCTCTTCTGATCACCATTCGGGTTTTCTTTATGACTCTGGGCTCTTCTGTGTAGGTGTGAGGTCCCCTCCAGAGACAAGTTAATCTCTCACATATAAACACATTTCACAAGCATCTGCAGGTAAGTTTTCCGCAGAGAAACGAAAACGTGTTGATGGATGGTGGGGGTGGCAGGTGGAGGTGGGGAGCTTGGTGCACAGAATCCTGGTACTGACGCTGTGTGTGAGCCTGGAGCTGTGAACCCTGTGTGCGTGTGGTTACGTGCAGACGGGTACTTTCCAGTGATCTGCTTCTGGTGTGCCCAAGGAGGACTGCAGACTTGGCTGCATCTTAGGGGCTTTGGCTCACTCCCTACCACCCCCAGCTGCGGGGGCAGGTGCCAGAGCCTGTTTACCGGGGAATGTCTCCTCTGCTCTGTCCTGCTGCCCCTTCCTGGCCTAGGCTGTGCGGGGCATGTGAACGGTACGGCCCTGGCCATAGGCCACCTTCAAAGAAGGAGCTCACTCATGACTCAGCCTGGGCTTCTGAGAAATGAGGAAAAAGGTGGGGAGACGTTTAAAACCTGGCTATCCATTGAGTCCAACCACTTGATGTTTGTGTGTGTGTGTGTGCGTGTGTGCGCGCGCACGCGTGTGGAAGTGTGCGTGCTCAGTCTGTCTGATTCTTTGCGACCTCATGGACTGTAACCCACCAGGCTCCTCTGTTCGTAGGATTCTCCAGGCAAGAATACTGAAGTGGGTTGCCATTTCCTTCCCCAGAGGATCTTCCCATCTTAGGAATCGAACCCGAGTCTCCTGCGACTCCTGCATTGCAGACAGATTCTTTACTACTGCACCACCTGGGAAGCCCATCATATGAGGTACTCTTAATATACACCAAATGATTAATAGCATTATCTCTAGATGGTAGAATTCAGGGAAAGCGTAAATCCTTTTTAATAAATATTTCTGCATTTAAGGAAAATTTTGGATGAGAACATATTTCTTTTATAAGTAGAAAAAGAGATAATATTAAACAGATAAAACACAAACATAAAAAATATTTCCTTCCCAGTTTATTCGTGAGTGGGTCTCAAAAGCTTGAGGGTAGTTGTTCCATTTTAGGAATTCATCCTGGGAAAATAATCAGAAATGTGTGCAAGGATTTAGCTTTAAGAGTGTTCATAAAAAAAAAAAAAAGAGCGTTCATGACGGTACTATCTATAATAGTGAAAACTGGACATAGCTAATAGTATTGGATTAGTTAAATCATTATGCTCTAATCATACTGTGGGATAATAGCATTTTAAATGCTAATTATTTTAAATGCTTTTATGTAAGATTTATTTTTAATATAGGTTTAAAAATATTTGTTTGTTTATTTTTGGCTCTGCTGAGTCTTCCTTGCTGTGTGTGGGCTCTCTCTGGCTGCGGTGAGTGGGGCCACTCTTCGTTGTGGTCCCCAGGCTTCTTGCTGGCTTCTCTTGTTGCAGAGCACAGGCTTTAAGGGGTACATGCTTCTGTAGTGCAGCACGCGGGCTCAGTAGCTGCGGCTCGTGGGCTCTAGGGTGTGGGCTTCAGTAGTCGTGGTACAGGGGCTTAGTCCTGGTGGCTCATGGGCTTTAGTTGCTCCATGGCATGTGGAATCTTCCTGGACCAGGGATCAAACCTGTGTCCCCTGCATTGGCAGGCGGATTCCTATCCACTGTACCACTAGGAAGATCCCTGAAGTTTATGATGACATGGTTAGTGTTCAAATAATTTCATTAGGATACAAAGTAGGATGTTAAAGATGCGTAATTTATCATGTTGTGCACACAGAGCAAATAATGGGACAGTCTACATGAAAGTGTTAACTGGTTGTTTCTGAGTGGTCAGATTATAGATTGTTTTGATTTTGTGTTGTTTTTCTGAAAGTTTCAAAGATTCTATAAAAGGACGTATTACTTTGTAGTCATATTGTAAAATAAACATTTTATGATTATAAACAAACCCCCCAAAAAAACTCCAGTCCTAAAGTGCTGAGAATAACAAAGTTGACTCCCAGAAATTTACGGGGCTTACAGCCCCTGAGAACAGGGTAAGGGTCACAGCACAGCACAAGCTGCCATTCCTGAGAACCGAGGCTGCACCAGGCTTTATTTACATCATGTCTCTGACCCTTGAACCTGCCAGGCAGGACCTGCCTCCACAGAGCTGGGTGCTGGAAGCCCTGGATACCGCCAGGGTGGGGAAGCATGGCAGCTCTCTATTCCCCTCCTCTCGTCCCCCACGTCCTGGTTTCTGAGTGGGTAGGGAGGCGCCCAGTAGCAATTTGGCACTGGGCTTCAACTTTACAGCCTCCTGAGTCTTGGCTGCCACCAGGCCTCAGAGCCCCAGGTCTGAAATTCTCAGTGAATCTCAGGAGTTACTTTGAAGGGGGTCCTCTGGGAGACATGCGGACAAGGTGCCAAAGCTCTGCCGGACATGGAGCTGAAGCAGTAAGAAAATAAGGTGGAGCGGAGAAAAGGTTTGAAATTAGATGGATGGGCAGGGTGGGGAGGGGCAGGTGGCAGAATCATTGTAAACATTTTCCCATTGCTGTTAGTCTTCTTCTAATACTTCTATAATTTGAAAACCTCAACCTTGAGTTCTCAAAGGGAAAAAAAGCGTGTAGATAGTTCTCTGAACCTCTCAATAGTTAAGAAACACCACCAGGTCCTCAGGCAGGGAGACCGCTGTCCTTTGAAAGCTGTGTCCACACCGACCTGAAGGCTTGTTTATTTAGCCTTTTCCTCTCTGTAATTTGCTCATCACTGCCTTCATGGTATCTGGCAGAGCAGCCAGTGCACAGTGATCGCTCGATAAATATTTGTTGAATAAATGAATGAACTGGGTGTGTATCCTCATTCAGAATGCATTCCCCTGCTGGCAAGTAGGCGGGTGCTTTTTGTATTAGTTGCTATTCATAAAAAGAGATACCTTCCTTAAAAATAAAGGAAACCATTTTCTGCATAATGAGATAGAAAAATCAGGCACAGTTTATTGATTTGTCTGACTCTGTAAACACCATTTTTAGATACATCCCCTAATGAACCTAATAGCAACCCTGTAAATTACCATTAGATTAAGAATGAGCATGTGACTTCAGATATGATCCCTTACAGGGTGGTAACTGAGAAACCCTTGCGTGAGACATGCTGGAGATGCCTACAGTCATGGCTGATGGTGCTGGAGACCTGCAGTTAAACGTGGTAGACTGACTCCTTTATAACTGCTTTATTGACAAGCCATATAATTCACCTATTTAGAGGGTGCAGTCACAGTAGCTTTTAGTATATCCACAGAGTTGTGCACCCATCACCACAGTCAATTTTAGAACATTTTTATCACCCCCAAAAGAAATCCCATGCCCATTTCCTCCCACCCACAAGGCTCCAGCCTAAGCAACCAGTAATCTACTTTTGTGTCTGTATAGATTTCCCTATTCTGGACATTTTATATAAATGGAATCATACAAAAGTGATCCACTGTGACTTCCACTTAATATGTTTTCAAAATTCGTGTTGTGGCATGTATCAATGCTTCATTTCTTTTTCACTGTTGAGTAATAGTACTCAATATTGCCATATTTTATTTGTCTGTTCTTCAGATAATGAACATTTGAGTTGTCTCCACTTTTTAGCTGTTATGAATAACATTGTTTTACAGTCATTCACTGTGTAGATGTGTATACCTAGGAGTAGAATTGCTGGGTCATATGGTCTATGTTTAACATTCTGAGTATTGCCAGACTGTTTTTCAAAGTGGCTGGTTTGGAAAGTGGTTCACATTCTCACCAGTAGTATGTGTGGTTCCAGTTTCTCCACATCCTTAACAACGACTGTTATTATGTCTTTCTGATAATAGCCTCCCAGTGAGTCCTGGAGAAGGAAATGGCAACCCACTCCAGTATTCTTGCCTGGAGAATCCCAATGGACAGAGGAGCGTGGGGTCGCAAAGAGTCAGACATGACTGAACAACTGACACTTCCCAGTGAGTATGAAGTAGTATTTCATTATGGTTTCAATTTGTGTTTCCCTGATGGCTAATGCTGTTGAGCAGCTTTTTGTGTGCTTGTTATGTATCTTATTTGGGGGAAAAAAAAGGTCTATTTAGATCTTTTGCCCATTTAAATATCGCGTTGTTTTGTCTTTTTATTATAGGTTATAAAAGTTTTTTAAAAAATATTCTGCATACCAGTTTCTCGTCAGGTATATGATCTGCAAATATTTTCTTGCCCTGTGTCAGTTCTTTTTTCACTTTCTTTTCTAAATTCTGATTTAATTAATTTATTTATTTTAAAATTATTTGTTTATTTATATTGTGGCTGTGCTGGGTCTTTGTTGCTGAGCTTGGGCTTTTCTGTGGTTGTGGCAAGCCGGGGTTACTCTCTCATTGTGGTGTGCGGGCTTCTCAATGTGGTGGCTTCTCTTGTTGTGGAGCATGGGTTCTAGGTACATGGGTTTCAGTAGTTGCAGATCCTGGCCTCTAGAGTACAGGCTCAGTAGTTGTGGCACTTGGGCTTGGTTGCCCTGCATATATGGAATCCTCCCAGTCCAAGATTGACTCATATTTTTTTCTAAGAGTTTTTAAATGTTAGCTCTTACATTTAGGTCTGTGATGCATTTTGAGTTAGTTTTTGTGTATGGTGTGAGGTAGGGGTTCAACTTCATTCTTTTGCATGTGGGTATCTGGTCATCCCAGCAATACTTACTGAAAAGAGTATTCCACACCCCGCCCCCCCCAACTGAATTGTCTTGGCACCACTGTTGAAGATCCATTGATCATAGAGCTGAGGGCTTATTTCTGAACTCTCAATTCTATTCCACTGACCCATATGTCTATCCGTAGGCCACTATCACACGTGATTACTCAATTACTGTAGCTTTGTTGTAAGTTTTGAAGTTGGCAGATATGAGTTCTCCAAACTTGTTCTGTTTTTTCAAGATCATTTTGGCTAGCCTGGGTCCCTTGAAATTCCATATGAATTTTAGAATCAACTCTGCCAAGAAGTTGGGTGAGATATTGATAGGGGTCCCTTAAATCTGTAAACCAATGTGGGGAGCATTGCACTCTTAGCAGCAGTAAAGGTATTTTTAAATGTTTAAACTACAAGGAGATCACCAGTCCAGGTTTGATGCATGAGACAAGTGCTCAGGGCTGGTGCACTAGGATAACCCAGAGGGATGGGATGGGCAGGGAGGTGGGAGGGGGGTTCAGGATGGGGAACACATGTAAATCCATGGCTGATTCACGTCAATGTATGGCAAAAACCACTACAATNACTGCAGCCATGAAATTAAAAGACGCTTACTCCTTGGAAGTAAAGTTATGATCAACCTAGACAGCGTATTAAAAAGCAGAGACATTACTTTGCCAACAAAGATCCATCTAGTCAAGGCTATGGTTTTTCCAGTAGTTGTGTATGGATATAAGAGTTGGACTATAAAGAAAGCTGAGCACTGAAGAATTGATGCGTTTGAACTGTGGTGTTGGAGAAGACTCTTGAGAGTCCCTTGGACTGCAAGGAGATCCAACCAGTCCATCCTAAAGGAGATCAGTCCTGAGTATTCATTGGAAGGACTGATGTTGAAGCTGAAACTCCAATACTTCGGTCAACTAATGTGAACTGACTCATTTGAAAAGACCCTGATGCTGGGAAAGATTGAAGGCAGGAGGTGAAGGGGATGACAGAGGATGAGATGGTTGGATGGCATCACCGACTCAATGGATGTGGGTTTG